GGTTAAGAGGCTGAGCTCGTAGATGATGATAAATAACAGTTATGTATAATATATTACATTTCTGACCGTATATCCCTGTAATTATTACACACTGTAGCTTTAAGGTTGTAGAACCTGCAACTATTCAGACCATTTGCATGATTCTTTCATGACCATGGTTGAAGGCCGGTACTCGTTTCTAATGTTTGAAAAGTTCCCCTTTGACTCCTCAGACACATTTCTTTTCATAATAGGTCAACATTTCCATTATCTGATCATAAGATTAGCTTTAGCTTAGAAAAGCTGCTAATTTGAATAAAATTTTAAGTAGATGTGAAAACAGACCATGATGCTCTGATGATGAAGCTGGTATTCCATAACTTCCAGTTGATTTGTTTTGACTTGTACAGGTAAACCTGTTTTCTCTCTGAGGCTGACATTTTAGGTAGTTAAAATCTTGACAAAGATCTTAAAATCTAGAATTGTTTAGAAATTTATCCAAAAGACTTACCAATATTTTTTCATTTACAGTTCATGCTATTTTATCTTTTTTTAGGTTTAAGAGTTAAAGTTAATTCCAATGAAAAGAGGATCCTAATTGTTACTAGCTATAGTAGATTATGGTCTTAAAAATAACTTTAGTATCTTGGAAAGATCAAATGCTTTCTAGAACCTTCAACATCTACTATTAGAAGATTTTGGTGCATAGATATATAACATTGACCGTTTTTGGATTAGATTAAATTCACAATAAGGTTTGAATTGTAAAGTTGCTTCCTTTTTAAAGAAAAGAAGATATATATACCCTTTCACATAGATGTCACTCATGTTCTCTCCTGTGATGCTGGTTTCATCTAGAGTTACATCCGTGGTGTTCCAGATGACGACTCGCAGGAAATGCCTAAACAAGCAGACAGGTCAGTTTTATCCATCTGCATCCCCTGGAAAAATCCTTTTTACATACCTCTTAGGTTTGCGGGGCGTGATGTCGAAGGGAGGACCAGGCTGTCCCATGCTTTTTGGGAAGACATCCACCCACATCTGTAGCCGACCCTTTAAATCAACAAATTAAGTAATGGGTTAAAACGTGTAACTTCAGGGCAATGGGTGGCTGGGGGTATGTTCAGTTATTTGACCAAATATCCATACCCATAAAATCTTTTAAATTTGTCATGTTATATGAAATACAGTGAACCACTCAGAAGGAAGTGGATTCAAAGTGAAAGGAGAATGTTTTTTTTTTTTTTTTAAAGGCAACGTGATAGACATTTGTATTTATTGCCCCCAGCTTTTCTGTCTCTGCTGTAGAAATACACCCCCTAGCATAATGCTGCTACCACCATGTTCCAGTCAAGGTTAAGTGTGAACAGTAAGTTTTTCTTCATACGTTCTGTTCGCAGATCAAAGGGTTCTTCAGGGGTTGCCCTTCGGGCACGTGACTTTCACATTTCATTTGCCCAGAAACTATTTTTACTTGCCCAGTATAATGTTTGATAAATGTAGTTCCTAATATTCATTTTTATATATATATCAATGAAACATGTTTGTTTTTTAAATGTTTTTTTTATAATTCAGTAAGTTTCCAGGTTCCTGGTGTGTATCTGCATGCGTCAGATAATGAACTCAAGCCTACATTACCGTGTTAACATGCATTTCCTTCCTGCACATTCTTTGCTTTAAACTGTTGTGTGCATGGAAAAATATAAATTGTAATGTTAAAAATCTAAAAAATTCATCCAGCTGCTGCTTTGCAGAATTCTCCCCCCAAGGAGAGAAAAATCAAGCCATCTAGCGGAAAATCATGCGAAAATGTGTACAAAACAACAAAAATGGCGCCGGCAACGCTTGTGGGGCGTTTTCATCGAATGTCGGTGATTTTAAATTAATTTTGAGTGATAAATAAAAAAAATTTGCAATCATTGCACTTGCCCGGCGGGCAAATGCAATGAAATTTGTACTCTCCCGACAATAAAAACTACTTGCCCCGGGCGATGGTTAACATCAAGCCCTGTTCTTAATATTTGTGTCGTCTGAACAAAACACCCATTTCCATGTTTGCTGCCTTTTCCACATGGCTTATTTTAAAATACAAATCTGACCTCTGGTCAGGCTAATCAAGACATTGTCCCATCTGAGCTGTGCATATCTATAGCTCACCCACATTTGCCACATGGCTCTTAGCTGCTTTAGTGGATGGTGGATCAAACAGAGTTCGGTATATCGCCCTATAAAACAATCTTTTTCCCAGATTCTTTCTGTCCTGATCCTTTTGTCCGGCCATTTCTTCATTGATACTCTGTAACAGTCCTTTAAGGCCCTCATGGAACAGCTGGATTTATATTGAGATATTCTGACACACAGGTGTATTTGGCTCAGTGAATTGTTGCACTGTTACTGGGCACAGATTTTAAGTAATAAATGGCTTTGAAATCTTGATCCCATTGGATTGATTGATGAATAATGACTTACCTGAGACAGATTAGGCTGGAAGGAGCTGTAAAGGGTTCTGGTCTCCACATGTTCAGGAACCAGTCCCTGCGTTCGAAGGACATGCAGACAGAGTCGTTCTCGGGGTGGACCCAAGTGCTGGTGAACTTCCGTGTTACCCTCTTTATGACAAAACAGAGTTGACTTAATGTGCCATAATTGAAGTAAACTGTCCCACTAAATTCATGTGATGATAATGTCTTACCAAACTGGGCCAATGTGTACTCTTTTCCGTTGAAAGTAAGTGATGTGCCATTATCTTCCGTCTTGGGTTTGGACAGGCCTTTTAGACGGGCCAGGTTCTCCAGGATTTGCGACGGCTTCAGCTGATCCCGCCACTGATTGATGCCAGACCTTAAAAGACAGAGCAAATTTATTATGTGTAATTTCTTTTCTTAAAACTAGTAGTTCAAATTATATACCTCCCCCCCCACTCCACTCTACAAAGGTAAAAGCCATTGGGCAGATGGTTTACTTACACGCAGTAGGTCTGAGGAAGGCCGCAGTAGGAGTTATATCGAGACAGGAAGCGGTTCTCTAGGTCGATCACTGTCTCGCCAACCTTCTCATCTCGAGTCAAGAGATCATAGTCATAAACCCCGATTCTCAGGTCCTTGTCTTGAGGCAAGAAGCAGGTCATCTCAAACATCCTGAACAGGAGAAAGGTTTGAAAACCGTCAACATGACATTAGGTGGACGACAGATGAAGAGACGCTCGAATATATTCTAAGACTCACCTTCCAAACACAGGGTTTATGTTGTTGGGCAAATAATTATCTCTGTCATCAAGTGTGTTCCTGCCCACTGATATTTTTATGTATGGATCGCACTAAGAAAATACAAAACAGGTTTAATCTGAGGAAACTGGCTAACCATGTGTGAAAATGAGTGAGTTTTATGGCTGCTTCATTCTCACCCTGCCATTGTTGTCTTTAGGCTGAAGGTCAATCGCCCGAACCACATAAATCCTGACCAGACACTCCTGAGGTCCGCTTTCCGGCAGCTCTCTGAACTGTCGGGGTGGAGGAGCAACACCTGGGTCATCTGATAGGGGGTACACCTTGAACGCACCCTGCAGGTACAAGGCAACACATGTAGAAAGGGTGAAATTATGGTAATTTCCACAGAAGTCACCACTCAGGTTAAAAGCTTCTGAATGGTGCCAGGCTACCTTGAACTCTCCGACCACGGTGGGGTCTTCGTCCCCATTTTCATTCTTGCCTCTCTGCAGCTTGAACGTGTTGCAAAAGTCAGTCAGCCCCTTGAATTCTGGGACAGTCTCCAACTCACAGTCATACACCTGGAAATTTGCACCAACATTTAAGACGACAGCGATCAGAAACATCTGTTTGTCACATATTGAGTCATTACACTCTGGAAGAAGTAAAGGTTTTCATACCTTAAGGGTATCGTAGCCTTTTCTTATGTAAGGACCACATTTCTGCTGGTCTCCAACTGAAGCGTAGAATTTACTCCACCAATCAACCGTTTCCTTTTCCTAAAAATGAAGTGGCATTGCATGATTACCTTGGAATTAAATACTAAACAAGAACTTGAAAGCTAAAGCTGTTTTGCTCTCACCTTTTCTGCCTGCTTTGGAGGAAGACCGGATCAGAAGAAAAAAAAAACAGTCAGTCATAATCATCATCATCAGAAAACACATTGAAGGTGGAGTGATGAAAGATTATTAGGGATCATTTCAGTGTTTATGATTGGTAGCAAGTCTGCTAAACAAGGGCATAACAAAGAGGAATGCAGATGCAACCTTGAGAGCAGATTATTGAAAGTGTAACAGCTTTGCTCAATCAAAGATTAAATCTACACTAGGAACAAACACCTCCACACTGTGTTTGTTAATGAAGGACAAAAAAACCATATGCTTTACAACCTATGGTTTTAAATGCATACAGTTAATTAAATGGCAGCGGTGGCTTAGTGGTTGGAGCTAGACTAGATGTTTGCTTCCTAAACTCGGAGGCTGCCTCTCTGGGTCCCTCAGCTCAACAATTAATCCCAGATTCCTAACTAAAGGCAAATGTTCCAACTGTGGGACCTTTTCTTCTTATTAAGTCAAACCTACTGAACCTACCAATTTTAAACCTGCATAAAATTAAAGAATTTATCATTTGTATTGAATTACCTGGGTCTCAAATGTTCTTACAAAAAAAAATCTTTATGAGTTAATTCATATTTTCCTAACTTCTACAAGCATACAGAACATACTGATAAACATTTTGATAAGCAATAAAAAAAACTTTGTATAATAACAGATTTGCTTAGAGACTTCAACAAGAATCAGTGAAACTAATAAACCTACACTGCAAAAAATTTGAATCTAAGTCCATTTTTCTTTATGACACCATCTAATAAGTGCCTTTTTTATTGAGCAGATAAGTTAGACACTTTGCTAATGGAACAAGACGATTTACATTTAAAATAAGAAAAAAAAACAACTGCAGTCACTTATTCTAAATTAATATCTAATTTAATCAATTTGACTGTGTGATCTAGTGAACTGTAAAGTGCCTTGAGATGACATGTGTCGTGAATTGGCGCCATATAAATAAACTGAATTGAATTAATTATCTTATTTTAAACCTTAAAATAAATTGGCAGATCTTCTAATTTTCTAACTCAAATTAAGGGTAAATTCACTTAAAGAAATTTGTACTCGTTTTCAGAATGTTTTTGCAGTGTGCTTAGTAAATAGAATCCATTTGATTTATTTAAATCAAAGTAAAACGAGCTATCCTCTTAGGGCCTCTGACCACAGAGCTCAATATCTCAACTCACAGAGAGGTGGCAGATGGAGCCGACTTTATTACACATAGTGGCAGGTCTACTCAAGGCAGTTTTTTTCAACATGTATGGGAAGCAACGGTATCTATTCAAAACTTTGATCCAGTACACATATTAAAAACAGGAACATTTGCTTTTCATTACACAAGACAAAAATAGAAACTTTTAAGCTTGTCTGCAAAATACTGTTAATAAAGAAGAACAGAAGAAGAAAGAAGTAACACTGCACATCACCCTGAACGCACCGTGCATACAAGGTTGGCGCTACATCTGGGATAAAGCTAAAAGAAAGCCTGATGGGCTGGGAAAGACTTGAGAATGAGATGGAGGTCTGCCTTCCAGTGGGAGAGGAACTCCACATACTGAAAGCTACAGACCTTAAACCATTCCAGCTTCTTTTAAAAACTGATATTCACAGACAACCTCCATCTGAGTTTCAGCTAAATAAAAAAAAAAGAACAAAAAAAGGGGTTAATTACAGCCAGTAGATATCTAGAGATACTGCTGAAAACAAGAACACTTATCATTCCACCTTCCCTTCACAATTAGGAAAGGATTTGTTGGTTTATGGCAAAAAAATCCTAAAAAAAATATATGAAAAGTTTTGGTTGCAAGACGACAAATTAAAAAAAGATAAAAGAATACAATTCTTTATTGACTGATAACATTTTTGTTAATGTGCTAATCTTAAATTGATGGTAATCGGTGGCAAAGTAGCCATTGATACAAGGTAAAGCATCTGGATACCTTTGCTTATTTCCATGTTATGCCCTTGCTGTGACCAAAGTTAACCAGTGTTCTCATTAAAGTTTCTCTAAATAAATGTGGTTAAATCATTATGACAGCCAGAGTGTAGAGTAAAGCCATTGTGCCATCATGAGGGATTTGTGTCATTGGTTTAGTGAATTAAAAAGCTACAACAAATAATCATACATACAAACTGGAAAGCTGGGGAAGCCATTTTGTTGAAAGCTGCAGACATACTGTACAAAAACTGCAAGCCAAAGCATTGCACAGTCAAAATTTGACATTTAGGAGCCAAATTTTGTTTCCAAGCAAACCCACTGGGACGGAGGTGTGGGGAAGACAAGGGGAGCTGACATTTACCTGAGCCTCCAACAGCGGCCGGGCCTCTTCCATGGTGATAGAAACATCTTTACGTGGCGCCGTCATCATCAGAGCCACTGTTAAAACAGAGTTGATCAAAATTGATCTCTTTATCTGCGATAATATGTAATTTTAGAGTAATGAACTTACTCTTGGAGGCCCTGGCTCCCTCTGAAACTATGACATATGGGTCACATCTGAACTGCTCCAGTGACGTGATGGTGCACTGACCAACCACAGGCTTCCTGCCAAACGGACGGTGGTCGATCACCTTCAGCACAATAGGAGGAGTGTACATCTCATCCTTTGGAAGAAGCTGAATGAAGAGTAGGGAACATATTGCCATACAGGATTAGAAAGAAGCTTATTTGGTATCTAAAATTATAAAATGCTGAGATATTAGATTTACTTAATTACCAATTCTTACAACACATTTCAAAGCTTTAGTTTAACAGCTTTAAGTCTCTCTACAGTTTTTTAAGAATGTTTTCATCTTCCATCTGAAAATGAATGCATCTTTGTGTGGTATTAAGTGTGAGTCCTTTTGGCTGCTTCCTTATTTAGGGGTTATGAGATGAAGCCTTTCCTGACTAAACCGTTGTTAGGTTTATTCTTTATATATCATGTGCATTGTTAGTTTTTTAGCCAGATTAGCCAGAGTAGAAGGCCTTCCTTCACTTGTTGGATGTCACTGTGTGTACGGAGGTCATCTAATCAGGACAGCCTTCGTGTCTTTAGAAATACACAGGATATGGGCACATCTTGGAGCCGGACTGATAAAGGAGAGCTATCTGTAATCCTGGGGTAAAGAGGCAAGATGCATGAATTTCAAGGCATTGATGGCGTGTCAGTTTCTGATACGGGCAGCTAAGCATACACCTGATGCAACACATAGGCTCATGAGGTATAAGAAGCAGGAGAGGACTATTCGGGGCTCAATCTTTGCTCAACTTTGCCGGACGCTCGCTGACGTTTTTTGAGCCTACAGCTGTGCTAACTCCAAGCAATTTCTCTGTCCTGTAACGACCTGGCCTGGAATAAACTCTGTTACTTTCTTACTCCTGTTTTATAGTCCTTTTTTAAATGGTTTTACCCAGTTTGAGTTAAGAGTAGTAAATAACTTGCTCCCAGATAAAGAACCGGTAGGGAAGTTCTGAGGCGCAGCCGCCTTCAGGGGGACAGAACTTCCATATTAAACACCGTCATTCAAAGCAAAGTTACCACAAATAAGACAAGTACTATGACTTTACACATTCTAGGCGATAGCTCACTCTGGTTGCATAAAAAAAAACAAATTCCATAAAAAAATCTCGTTTGGCTTAGCATATTTTATTTTGAGTTACACATTGTTTTGGGTCGGTTTGTTATTAAGCTTCAGAGTTTCTGCATTTAGCATTACAAGATGCGTGAACTTGGTAAATATAGAAGTAATGGAGCCAAGCCAGTCAGCACCAGAGGTGTGAAGGTTAAAAAAGTCCAATATAGTGGAATTATTGGATGTCAAGAGAACTAAGACAACAGCAGAACTCAGATTACAATATGAATGTTGGAGTTAATTGAGGCAGGAGCTAAAGCTGTAGCAGGCAGCCAGTTGATTTGTGAGGAAGTATTGCCAGCAGATGGCGACTGCGAAAAACAACATTCATGTTTTCTGATTGTGCTCAGAGTAAAAATTCTCTCTGTACTTAAAAAGAAATAATTAACCACTGTCAGGACGACAGTTTGGTGTACATTACTTTATTTTAACATGATAATAAGGTTTTTGGTGGGTTTTATTTGTCAATAGACAGTATGTGGCTGGGTCTTTCTAAATTACAACAGGGGAGTGAAGGCCTAGTGGTTAGGGCATTGCACTTGGAATCCAGAGGTTCTGAGTCCAAGCCCCACTCCCACAGACTGCCACTCTGGGTCCCTGAGCAAGACCCTTAACCCCACACTGCTTCCCGGAGGAATTGCAGCCCACTGCTCCACAAGGGGATGGGTTAA